GCTCACAGCAACCTCCAACTCCTGGGCTCAAGCGAGTCTCCTGCCTCAGCCTCCCCCCCCCCATGTCTCCGTTCTGGTCAGTGATCCAGTTCAGGATCCTAAATTGCTTTTAGTGTCAAGTCTCCTTTGTTTCTAATCTGGCACACATTCTCAATCTTTCTCTGTCTTTCACGACCTTGACACTTTCAAACAAGAGTAGCCAATTATTTTGTGGAATGTCCTGCAGTCTGAATGTGTCTAATGTTTCCTTATGATTAAGGATATGCCTTTTTGGCAGTCATCCATGTGACACTGTGCTGTGCGTTCTTCTCAGTGCCTGGTATCAGGAAGAATATATCAATGTACCTTATTTCTGGGGGTGTTAGTTTTGATCACTTACTTAAAGCAGTGTTTGCTGTCTCTTTACCAGAAGAGACTCTTTGTAATTAATAAGTGTCTTCTGTGGAGACACTTTGAGACTGTGCAGATAGTCTAGTTCTTAACCACATTTTTGCTCACAAATAGTAACATCCATTGGTGATTCTTGCCTGCAACAGTTAAAGCTTGGCAAATGGTCATTTTCATCATTCCTTCACTTATTAATTGGGATTCTGCTTTAAGAAGAGCTATCCCCATATAAATTGATTTTATTTAATTCATTATTTATTTATAGTAGTATAGATTCACGGACATTTATTTTATTCTATAGTTCATAGCCCACTATTCCCACAACCATGCTTGACTAGCTTTAAAAAACTACATATATGTAAGCCATTACTGTCATTTGTTTCATTGCTCAAATTGTCCCAGATATGGCCACTAGGATCTGTTTGTGAGGATATATTCTGTGTGCTTTTTAACAAGGCCTGTCATGTTTTTTGAGCATGTCTTTATTTCTGCTTTCAAGTCATTTTATACTTGCTCTTCCCCAGTCCTACTGTTTCTCCAAGGAGCTTTACTAGTTCCTTGTACTGGAGAATGATATTTAGAATTTAAGGTTGTAGGTGCTTGAGGAAAGTTTTGATGACTCCTGATGGAGATTAGAAATGAAAGCTGGGGCTTGGCGCCTGTGGCTCAAGTGACTAAGGCGCCAGCCACATACACCTAAGGTGGCGGGTTCGAATCCCCAGCCTGGGCAGCCAAACAAGAATGATGGCTGCAACCAAAAAATGGCCGGGCGTTGTGGTGGGCGCCTGTAGTCCCAGCTACTTGGGAGGCTGAGGCAGGAGACTCGCTAGAGCCCAGGAGTTAAAGGTTGCTGTGAGCTGTGATGCCAGAGCACTCTACCCAGGGGGATTGCTTGAGGCTCTGTCTAAAAAAAAAGAAAAGAAATGAAAGCTGGCTTTCCAAAGCAACTAAGCAGCTAATGAAAGCAGGGTGCAGCCTGGGAAAGCTCCTGGTTCTGAGAAGGAGCTGGGTTTAGACCACATCTGGATTAGGCTGCAGATCTCATTAGGAACCAGCACGCACGCTAAGTGTCTACCACAGATACAGCCTGCTTGTTAACCACAAATCGGAGTCATGCCTCTCTTGGTGCTTGTCAAATTAACACCACTGTTTAAATAGCTTAAAAAAAATCCCAGTAATATCTGAAAGAGGAAAGCCTTCACAGATGTGGTGTGCTATGTTAGAAGACCTGGAGAGAGGCCTGAGCCACTCTCCAGCACTGTGCCTTCTCCTGGGGATCTTAGGCCTGGCTAAAATCCAGTGAGACAGTGAGTGGAGGCAACTTGTAAACCAGTGCATGTGGTGCACGCCACTGGCCAGGGGCCCTGCCATAGGCATAACTTTATGATCAGCAGCTTTTTTTTTTTTTTTTGAGACGGAGCCTCAAGCTATCCCCCTGGGTAGAGTGCCATGGCATCACGCTCACAGCAACCTCCAACTCCTGGGCTCAAGCGAGTCTCCTGCCTCAGCCTCCCAAGTAGCTGGGACTACAGGCGCCCGCCACAACACCTGGCCATATTTGGGTTGCAGCTATCATTGTTGTTTGGCGGGCCGGACTGGGGATTTGAACCCGCCACCTTAGGTGTATGTGGCTGGCGCCTTAGCCGCTTGAGCCACAGGCGTCGAGCCGGTCAGCAGCTTTTTAATAAAAATAAAATAAGTGGTTGTAAGAGGCCCATTTTTACATTTCTTGGTCTTCCTTACTTTCTAAGTGTCAGCCTCTTAATAGCTGTCTCATTGTCAGTCATCCTACCGGGATAGTGCCAGATTGGACACTTGACCAAAACCCAGGCTCCTTCTCCCAACAAGCAGGCAGACAAGGATACGTTTATTTTAAATTTTTCTTATTGAGAGATATTTGTTGGGTTGTTATGCCTTCCCTTCAAAGCTGTATGGAAGCAACATGCACAGAATTGAGGTTCCAAGGCATAAGTTTTGTTGTTACTTGTGCTGAAGTGAGCAGGCTATGCAAACCTGTCTTCAAAGGCCAAGAGAGCTGAGAGGCCAAAGGAGGCCGAGCAATGCAGTTTCTCAGAAAGAAACATTTAATAGGACTCAGGAACAGAAGAGATGTCTCTTGTGGTTGAGAGACAGTGGGTCCTCACACTGGCCCTCCAGAAGGTATTCTGTATATCAAGCGTCCTCAAACTACGGCCCGCGGGCCACATGCAGCCTCCCTAGGACATTTATCTGGCCTGCCTGGTGTTTTTGCCACTGCTGCCTGTCCTGCTTAGCAGCCAACTTGTCCTGGGGCCCGCAGTCCGGCCCTCCAACAGGCTGAGGGACAGTGAACTGGCCCCCTGTTTAAAAAGTTTGAGGACTCCTGCTGTATATAGTAGGCATTTTTTTTTTTTTGTAAAACACATGCAAATAGTCACATTTCAGATAATTTTGCTAATTGTGACCAGTGGGGAAGTTAGATAAGAGTATTTATGAGGGGTTATCTTTGTTTCTGAGGGGTTATCTATGCCTCGGAGCACACGGATCATTGTGGTGATTTTGCATCAAGATGGTGTCACACTTTCCATGCAATAGGCTATTTTTCCTTTCTTCCTTGAGAAGGGTGTTGCCTTTAATTTCAGCTGTGACTCTAATTCTTAGAACTTGAAAGTTTAACTTTCAATTTTTTTTATACTTTTTACAGAAAAGTTATATTTAACTCTTATCCTGTTTCTGTTCCCCAGCTTTAATAATTACCAATTGGCCAGGCATTACTCATGCCTGTAAATCTAGTGCATTGAGAAGCTGAGGTGGGAGGACTGCTTGAACCTAGGAGTTTGAGACCAGCCTGAGTAATATAGCAACTGCTGCTCTACCAAACACCATCTCTGCCAACACCCCCCAAAAACAAACAAACAAAGAAAGAACAACAAATTGTGGGAGGAGTCCTTGAGCCCAGGAATTCAAGGTTGTGGTGAGCTATGATTATGTTGCTGTAGTGATAGAATAAGGCCTTGTCTCAAAAAAACCCCCAACCTACGACCAATCATGTTTAATTAATATAGCCATAACTATACAAACATAATTCTCCTTCACCTCCATATTATTTTAAGTAAATAACATAATTTCATCTGAAAAAAATTTTTTTTCTTTTTTTTCTTTGAGATAGTTTCACTTTATAGCCCCCAGTAGAATGCCCTGGTGTCACAGCTAACAGCAACCTCAAACTCTTGGGCTTAAGTGATTCTTTTGCCTTGGCCTCCCAAGTAGCTGGGACTATAGACATCTGCCACAATGCCCGGCTAGTTTTCTGTTGCAGCTGTCAATGTTGTTTTAGCTGGCCTGGGCCGGGCTCAAACCTGCCAGCCTTGGTGTATGTGGCTGGTGCCCCCTACCCACTGAGTCACAGGAGCCACCCTAGACAGTATTTTACTGTTGGTATGTCCCTGGTGTCATTTGACTTGTTCCCCTGTCTCACGTTTTCTATGAATTGGCAAGTCTAGAGAATTCATTATGTTTAATTTCATTATGGAGGGGAAGCTAAAATACAGGTGGTGGTGTATATTCCTAGGATCCTGGATGCACATATCAGGCCTGGTTTTCTCTTTGTATGATGTTAGTGCTATTCTTGATCCAATAATTCATTAAGAATTACAAAATGATGATAATCCTACTTTTATAATTTCTTTTTTATGTATTAGCTGGAATATTTTAATAAAGAGAAACTTCTCAGCAACGGTTTGGTTACTTTCAGGTATAGTTCTTGGAGGAAAGGTGGAATAAATGCTTGATTCCCTTATTTACTGTTTTCAGTATAACAAGGTCTCTAAAGATGATGAGTGTGAGATTTGAGTGCCATGAATTGACCAATTGGACATATTGGATCTGTTTTAGTCTATTGCTGATGTTATACTTATTGGTGCTCACAGGAAGAATAAGCCCATCTTTGATGGTCTTGAGAGCCCCTTCAGGTTAGCTCTTAGGTCCTTTTCCTCAACCCTAGTAATCTTCCATGGTTTTGATAGATGCTGTAGGTTCATCTTGTACATTTTCTTCCCAAGACCAAGGCCATTTTTCCAAGGCCTTCTAGGAGGTAATGTATTTAAATAGGGCTCACAGACTGGATGGTGTGGATGAAACTTTTTTTTTTTGAGACAAAGTCTTGTTTAGTTGCTCTGGGTAGAGTGCTGTGGTGTCTTAGCTCACAGCAACCTCAAACTCCTGGGCTCAACCGATCCTCTTACCTCAGCCTCCCAAGTAGCTGGGACTGGAGGCACCTGCCGCAATGCCTGTCTATTTTTTTTAGAGACGGGATCTTGCTCTTGCTCAGGCTGGCCTGCAACTCCCGAACTCAAGCAACTCTAGAGTACTGGCCCCTGCCCATGGATCAAACTTTAACTCAATGTGAGAGAAGTGAGGAGTGGACAGGGGTTGGGGCTCTGAGGATATTTGTTCCCCTCTGTGGTTTCTGCTGAGAATGTAGCTTAGGGAGATGAGATGCCAATTTTGTAACTGAGTGACAAACAGGTGAAAATAGTCCACATTTTATTTGATAGATGTGATCTAGTTACCTAGTGTTTACTTTTGGAAAAAGACCTGGTTATAGTATGTGTGCAGGTGACACTATTCACTTACCTTCCTGAGGGGTGCTGGATCTAGGCAGGGGAGGCACCAACCTGGTGATATCCTCAAATCTGGGATCCTTAGGCTGGACCTGAGGCCTTGTCCTGCTACACAGGACTTCCTGAGTCCATGATGGTAGAGTTCCAGATTCCAGATAAGTATCCAGTTCTCTGAAATACATCCTCACTGTAGTCTTAGGAGTGTAAAATTAAAAGCCATCTTACTGTTGTGATCACTTAGAAGGGGTCTAGTATTTTCTCCTCTCCTCCCCGCTCCTCTCCCTCTGTTGCCCTGGGGTTAAGTGCCATGGTGTTATACCTCACAACAACCTCAAACCTCAGACTCTTGGCTTAAGCGATCCTCTTGCCTCAGCCTCCCAAGTAGCTGGGACTACAGGTGCCTGCCATAACACCAGGCTATTTTTCGAGATGGGGTCTCGAGCTTGCTTAGGTTGGTCTTGAACTCCTGGGCTGAAGCTGTCCACCCACCTCAGCCTCCCAGAGTGCTGGGGATTATGGGCATGAGCCACTGTGCCCAGCCACTCCATTATTTGTTTCTTTACTTACTCTGTGAGCTGTAAAGATGATTATCTCCTTAAAAGCTGCTATTTCGGTAGCTGCCTTCATGACAGGTAAAACTTTTCCATAGGTTTGGAAAGTAGCAAAGATGCACTGGTTTCATAAGTACATGGTGGCTCTCTACCTAATAAATGCCCGTATAGGCTGATACATTAAGCATATGGAGAAGGTGGTAAAAGACAATTACTTAGTACTTATTTTTCCCTTTCTTATGTTGGTATTTCTGGAAGAGAGATTGTGTCCTGGTCACTGTGGCACACCTGCTGCCTAAGGGAGGACTAGATCCCTGACATCACCCTCCCCCCCTGCATTTAAACTGGGATTTTAAAAAACAGTGTACATGTCAAGGTGAGTTAACATCTAACTTTAATACAATTTTTTTTTTCCTCTAGGAAAAAAAATGCTAAAATCAAGACAGGGTACAAGCGAGAGCACATCAACCTGGGCTGTGATGTGGACTTCGACATTGCTGGGCCTTCGATCCGGGGGGCTCTGGTGCTGGGTTATGAGGGCTGGCTGGCTGGCTACCAGATGAATTTTGAGACTGCAAAGTCCCGAGTGACCCAGAGCAACTTTGCAGTTGGCTACAAGACTGATGAATTCCAGCTTCACACTAATGTGTAAGTGTGCATGTTGTGGGGTTCAAGTGTATGTGGTGGAGAGATTGGTTTTTATTATTTTTCTCTAAGTCTAATTTTTTTTTTTTTTGAGACAGTCTCACTTTTGTTGCCCTCGGTAGAGCACTGTGGTGTGGTGTCACAGTTCATAGCAACCTCAAACTCCTAGGTTTAAGTCATCCTCTTGCCTCAGCCTCCCAAGTAGCTGGGACTACAGGCACCTGCCACAACACCCAACTATTTTTTTTTTTCATTTTTTTTTTTTTTAGACGGAGCCTCAAGCTGTCCCCCTGGGTAGAGTGCCATGGGATCACACTCACAGCAACCTTCAACTCCTGGGCTCAAGCGAGTCTCCTGCCTCAGCCTCCCAAGTAGCTGGGACCACAGGCGCCCTCCACAATGCCTGGCCATTTTTTGGTTGCAGCCGTCTGTGGTGTTTGGCGGGTCTGGGCTGGGGATTCGAACCCGCCACCTTAGGTGTATGTGGCTGGCGCCTTAGCCACTTGAGCCACAGGTGCCGAGCCAACACCCAACTATTTTTGGTGGTAGTTGTCATTGTCGTGTGGCAGGCCCGGGCTGGATTCGAACCCACCAGCTCCAGTGTATGTGACTGGCTCTCTAGCCACTGAGCTACAGGTGCCGAGCCTCTAATTTTTAACCACTCCAAAGTGAGTTTGTTGGCATCCAATGAGCCACATGGCCTGCTGCAGCTTTCTGTTTCCCACTTACCTATTTCCCGAAGTGTCTTTTTTTTTGAGACAGAGTTTTACTTTATCACCCTTGGTGGAGTGTTGTGGGATCATAGCTCACAGCAACCTCAAACTCTTAGGTTTAAAGTGATTCTCTTGCCTCAGGCTTCCTGGTAGCTGGGACTACAGGTGCGGACTGGCTATTTTTTAGAGATGGGGTCTTGCTCTTGCTCAGGCTGGTCTTGAACTCCTGAACTCAGGCAATCTACCCACCTTGGCCTCCCACAGTGCTTGGATTACAGGTGTGAGCCACTGCACCAGCCTGTGTCTTAGGTTCTTTTTATTTTGTGAACAATAAATATTGCTGCTGTGTTGCAGATAAATGACAGCAGGGCCATGATGTCACTGCAGAGGGGTATCCCTTCCCTATAGTTTTTGTTTTAGTTAACAAAATGCGGGGGGTGAGGGGCAGCGCCTGTGGCTTAGTGAGTAGGGCGCTGGCCCTATATACCAAAGGGGGCAGGTTTGAACATGGCCCCGGCCAAACTGCAACAACAAAAAAATAGCTGGGCATTGTGGCAGGTGCCTGTAATCCTAGCTACTCGGGAGGTTGAGACAAGAGAATTGCCTAAGCCTAAGAGCTGGAGGTTGCTGTGAGCTGTGACAGTACAGCACTCTACTGAGGGTAACAAAGTGAGAGTCTTGTCTCTAAAAAAAAAATATGTGGGGGTGGGGGGAGCACTGCTTTCTTTCTCTGTATAATGCCTAAGGATCCCTTTCCTCCCCTTCCTCCTCCTTTCCCCTCTCCTCCCCTCCTTATGCTTGATGAATTGTAGACATAGTAGACAAATTAGGAGCTGATAAGATCTCTGGTGGGGCATTTGAAAGTTTAACTATTGGACAATGTGGTGAAGGGAAGAGAAGATGACAGGTGAAGAGAGAAACTTGAGAATTTAAGTAGGGCAATGATTCAAGTTAAGGGAAACAGATTTTCATCCATAAAAATCATGTTTTAATTTCCTGGGGAATTAACCTGTGGCATAAATTGGGTACAACTTACCAAGTTTCTTTCTTTCCACTAGAGGTCACTAAAGAAGTGACTTCTTGCCCTGGCTCATGCCTGTAATGTTAAGTACTTGGGAGGCCGAGGCAGGTGGATTACCTGAGCTCATGGGTTCGAGACCAGCCTGAGCCAGAGAGAGACCCCCGTCTCTAAATATAGCTGGGCATTGTGACAGGCACCTGTAGTCCCAGCTACTTGGGAGGCTGAAGCAAGAGTATCACTTAAGGCTCGGTACCTGTGGCTCAAGTGGCTCAGGCACCAGCCACATACACCTAAGGTGGTGGGTTTGAATCCAGCCCGGGCCCACCAAACAACAATGATGGCTGCAACCAAAAGATGGCTGGGCATTGTGGCGGGTGCCTGTGGTCCCAGCTACTTGGGAGGCTGAGGCAGGAGACTCACTTGAGCCCAGGAGTTGGAGGTTGCTGTGAGCTGTGATGCCAGAGCACTCTACCCTGGGGGACAGCTTGAGGCTCTGTCTCAAAAAGAAGAGTATCACTTAAGCCCAAGACTTTGAGTTTGCTGTGAGCTGTGAGTGCTACAGTACTCTACCAAGGGTGACAAAGTCAAACTCAGTATCAAAAAAAAAGTGACTTCCTAAAACTTTAAGTAGATGGTATTAGTAAGTAAATGAATACTATTTTTTTTTTTTTTAAAGATTTTTATTTTTTGCAGTATTTTTTTGGCTGGGACTGGGTTTGAACCCACCACCTCCGGTATATGGGGTCGGTGCCCTACTCCTCTAGCCACAGGCTTTGCCCAGGAATACTATTTTTATTAATAAAATTTTTTCAGGAATTTTTACCACTTATTAAAAATTTGGAGTCTTGGTTGGGTGCAGTAGCTCATGCCTGTAATCCTAGCACTCTGGCAGGTCGAGGCGGGTGGATTGCTTGAGCTCATGAGTTTGAGACCAGCCTGAGTAAAAATTGAGACCCCTGTCTCTACTAAAAATAGAAAAACTGAGGCAAGAAGATCGCTTGAGCCCAAGAGTTGGAGGTTGGTTGTTGTGAGCTCTGACGCCACGGCATTCTACTCAGGGTGACTGCTTGAGACTCTGTTTGAAAAAAATTTTTTCTTTTGGAGTGGAAAACAATAGAGATGGACAGTTTAGTGGTTACTGGAAGTGTGGGGATGGTGTGTCTGCAGCGGGGTAGCTGAGTGGGTTTGGGGGAATGGAACTGTTCTGTATGCTGACTGTGGTAGTATTACACACTACACAAGTCTGTCTGTACATGTGTTAAAATCCATAGAAATGTATACCAACAAAACGTCCATTTTATTGTATGTTAATTTTAAAAAGGTAATATACAGAAAAGTCACAGGAAAAATATCACAAGCATAGAAGTGCTTTTTAATTTAGAATTCGTATTGGAATGAGAAGTGTTTCCTTGGTTTAGAATTGGGAATTGGCACCAACTTGAAGAAGAACAACAGCTGTCAGGCATTTCCGTCATATACCTGAGCTTTAATATTTCTAATAAGTAACAAGTGGACACGGTTTATTTTTGGAACTGGCGCGGAGGCAGCTGACACAGCTCCTCTGGGTTGCCTTGGTGCTTGTAGAGGTCCTGATGTGTAACTGATGTTCTTTAAGCTTCATATAGATGAATTTGGACAATCAGTCCCCTATTTCTGGTTTTGAAAGCTCACTACAGGAAGGCAGTATTGTGTTCCTGGTTTTAAAATATTCTGAAAAATATGACCTTTTAAAAAACCTTCCCTATTTGAGTATACAGTAGAACCTCTATAAGATAACCACCCCAGGGACTGGAACAAACTGGTGAACATACAGAGATGGCCAGCATAAGGAAATAGACCTGTTATACTGATATGTGTATATGGTACATGTCCTGTCTATGAAAATGAGATCAATTTGAGATGGTCAGTGTAGGGAGATGGTCACCTGTGGAGGTCCTCCTGTGTTACTCACTCAGAAATCTTTTTTTTTTTTTTTTTTGACAAGCTGCTGTTTTGTAGCAGGCTGGGCTATTTGAAGAAGATAGGATTCCCTGTGAATCAGACAGTGCCTACAGTCTCCCTGTATTTCCTGAAAGCACAGTATCTGTCTGGCTGAATTTCAGGAAGAAACTTAAGAATTCAGAATATATTTTATGAGTATCTGCTTTAGGGAGAACATTTTGTGAAGAGTTTACAATGAAACAGTAACAATTTGTTCTTAGGTCCTTAACCCTTTGCTGGATTCCAAAGCACATGGGTTCTGACCAGTGCCATTTCCACTGGAAATGCCCAAAATAACAAGGCTGAACTTTCACACTGATTTTATGATAAAAACGTTTGAGAGGATGTAGGAAAGCATTTTTTTTTTTTTTTTTTTTTTTTT